AAATAAATAAATAAATAAATAAATAAATAAATAAATAAATAAATAAATCTTTGAATGTTTTAGACAATGTACCTCACTGGGGAGCGTGAAATGAAAAGAATATCCTAAACTACCCTCCTCTTCCTAGTTAATATCTAATTCTTTCTCCAAAATGCAGATAAATATTCCTCCTACAGGCAATGATTTCCTATCTCAGTGTCATCTCTTCCATAGCTTTCATAGAAATATATGCTTTTCTACTCATGTCTGTAATCAAATTATTTTCTATTCCTCTCTTAGATTATAAATTCATTAAAAGCTGAATTAAAAAAAAAAATCTGTCTTAGCATCTACTAGAATGGGCCATAACAGCCCACAGTACATGTTGAAGGAAAATACAAACCTGGATGACTGACTAGGATTCTGAGCACCCATCCTCCAAATTGAATTTACTCAAAATTATTATTAGGTAAACACAATAACCCTCAAGGGTACCTAAAGATATCAGATCTCATATTCTCCAAGGACAAGTAACCAAGTATTGTTACATTTTGTGCCATAGAGGATCACCAGCACTCTGGCAGAAACTCCTGACCTATCAGAAAGGTAGCTAGAGTAATTATTAACCTGAAATTATACTGAAGAAAGACTACCAGCTGGTGAGAGACCTAGGATTTTCAGGAGGACCAAGGGGCAGAGATCCCCCTAAATGCCTTTTCTTAGGAGGAAAGGAAGACAAGCTTCAAGTGCTTTTAATGAGCTTGACTTTGTGGTCTATGTTCTATACAACATGAGTTTAATGAGCTTGACTTTGTGGTCTTCCTTCTTCCTTCACTGAAGAAGGAAGAGACAGTGACCTGAATGAGTCCATGGAACAAGGTGGTGAGGCAACCAACATTTGTCTACTCAATAATCAAGTCACACCAATGCCTAAATGCAAACCTACTGAAGAACCTGAATGACAGCTCCTAGGTTGGTTGCCCGTAAGTTAATCTAGGACCCACAGGAAAGAGGAAGAACTTAATTTAGAAGATTTTATAAATGTGCTTTTGTATTAACAATGAAAATTCTGCAATTAAAACATGAAAAATCGGCCCTCCCTGGTGGCACAGCGGGTTAAAGCACAGCACTGAGAATCTAAAGCCGCTTCCTCATGAGTTCGATTCCTGCCTGCCCCGGAGGTGACCACATGGCGTGGCAGACCTCTCCTGGCCCGCCCACTGCTCCCCTCAGCAGTGTACTTCGTCGATCTGCCAGTTCTGTACCCCACTCTGTCTCTGGTGAAGCCTCTCGCCGCCCCTGAGCCTCTGGCCTGTACCCCAGTTCTGTATGCACAAATAAATAAATCTTTAAAAAAAAAATCATCACACTAAAAATGGGAGTAGAAACCATTTATATTTTTAGTAAATCAATGATAATTTGTACTCTACATGATTATAGAATATAAGACAACATAAATTAATTGTTCTAGATAGCATGATGTGTTGATTACATTGAATTGTTATTTTGACAAACACATCAAATAGGATTTTAGCAAATACTTAACACAATTATAAGTAAAATATCCCTGATATGAATTGGCATCAGGAAAAAAAGACAGGGACATCTCAGAACATTCAACTTTATTTTCCATTCACAAACACAACATAAATAACATACATTTATTAAATATACAGACTAGCTATGACTTGAATGCCATCAAAATCCTGATGTACTTTTCATAGTCATTTTTAATTCTTTGTCTCCACAATACTGAAGACTTACCTTTAAAACATACTCGAGATATGTTCCATATACTTAAAACTAACTACCAAAAGTTTCATAGAGGTGACAAAACTGTGACTTCCCATCAAATCAAGTGTGTTGGGATGGGATGCTGAGTAGAAGAGTTGGAAAAACATATTTTCTATGCTGAACTTTACATTGTTGATTAAAGTGTCAATGATTTCTGTTCTTACTTAGACACTCCATGTAAATTATTCACATTCATTTGTTGTAAACAAATCAAGTTAATCAGTGTGGAGTTTAAATCTACTTACAGAAATATCAAATTATATCTTGTTTGAGCTAAAAACATCTGGTAAAAGACAAGGAAGGTTTTACATGTATATATAAATATGTATACACACCACATATATATTGTATATATAAGGGGAGTTGACAGGAAAAAGAATTTAGCACTTAATGATAACTTAAGTGATCTTAGTACCTGCTTTAAAACAAAAAGACACTGGCTACTCACCACTGTCTCAAGTTTGTGAAGATAAATGATATCCCTTACTGTTTTTGTTTCTGATGGACCTCACAGGATAAAGAATTTTACCAAGCTGGAAATGTAATGCTTTTCCTCTATGAATTTTTCTACATCCTCTATTTCACCCTCCATGCCTGCTCAACATAAGTGTCCTATCAAAAACTGAATGAACGCTGATGTGTATCAATCAGTCATATTTACTTTTCTCAGCTTAACTTTACAGCCTTGATTTATATAGAAACTGAAAGTATGGGAACTATTTTATATATTAAATTCTGGTAACAAGCAAGCTTTTGACTAGATATCTGATTTACTTCAACTAAAAGATTAAATTTTCTAATTATAAAGCAACTGACAAAAGTATATGAGAACTGCATATTTCAAAATAACTTTAGAAGTGGAATCATCTCCAAAATGCTCAAAAAGTATAAAAAACCTGATTTGTTCCTGACGGTGCTATCTTTCCTTACATAATAAAATTGTTTCATCAAAGCAGACATTAGGAAAACAGATTTGGGTCTGTCCCATATATCAGGATATTGGCATACTAGAAATTTAAAGCTGTTCATGCTTCTTTAAAACAATCCCAGCTTCACCAAAGGGAAATATTTCTGTTGCTTATGCTCTGTGAGCAAATGGCCAGATTTTCTATCTTTTGGCTTAATATCAACACAAAAGAAATAGTAAATGTTAACACAGGGAAGATTAAAAGTTAATCACTAATTTTGGGTCAAAACCAACAAAAACCAAGAAGTATTAAATAAATGAGAGGCCTAATGCACTCAAAAGTCTAATATTAGAACAATGCCACAGATTGATAACCTTATTAAAATAACAGTTAATGTTATTTTAATGATATGACCACACAAATTAAAAACTCTGAAAATGAGCTTTTGCAATTTTGTTATGTATACTGGTAGACGGCTCTTTCATGTAATAAAGAAGATTTAAGTAGAAATATATGTACGTTTTAATTCATACTCATTTATATGTCATAATTAATATCTTGAAGTACAGCATTAGATAAACCTGGCACGTCTTGAGACCACACATTTTGTTTCCTCAATTTAAACTATTTTTCAAGATATCCTATTTTGCCTGGAAAGTGTAAACTGTTCTTATTAGATGGCATGTCATCATTCCTTTCTATAACACAGCATTGCTTTATAAATTCTATAATAGTTGATCTTATATATATTTCTACATTGATCTTACATGTATTTCTACACTGCATTTAATAACTTATTTTCATGTAGTTTCCTAGGTTTTTTGTTTGTTTTTATCAATGCTGCAAAAACTAGGAATTATTATAATTTAGGCATATATTTTTTACTCTTTAGATATATGTGTGGATAAATTAATAAATAACAGTGCACTTAAAGGACAATGAATTTAAAGTTGGAAACAAGCATACTTTTCTGCAGTGACTTTTGATTTCTAGTTTTTCCATATCTAAGGCCTTTTAACAACAAATCTGAAATATAACCTCAACTAGCACCCAAAGGTTGAAATAATCGGGGCTTTATATTTCCTACCAGTCAATTTGTATTAAGAAATATCTGCTTAGAAAACAAAATTCAAATGCCATAATTTTTCTTTTTCCAACTCCTATTCAAACTTGTTCAAACTGTCCTTTATCCACTTCTACCATGTATTCCTGGGCAGGAGTTAACTTTGTAGGTAAAGTATATGTTTCAGGTTGTTTTGTCTTTATGTATGCTGTGTTTTAATGAAAGGTGCTACTTCTTTGAGAGTAATTTCCATTATTATCTGGAAATATCAATTCCTTAAATTATTAATACAAAGAAAGCTCTGTTGTACATCAATATGGCACTACCCATTTGAAGAAAAATTCATATTTTTGTAACTAAATAACGAATTGCTCACTTTATCAGCTTGATGGATTATAATGGCATGAAACACTTCAATATATAGGGGGAGGTCACTGATGTGCACTGGGTCTTCACAGACATTTATCAATTTATTCACTAAACAATATGTGTTGAACACTTTCTATATCCTTAGTGTTGTTCTAGGTACTAAAAGGAATAATTCAGTCATGCTCACACCACCCTAACCCTCACACACACACTGTGTGTGTCTAATTATTACCTAGTGTCAGAAGACTGTTTTTAGAGCTGGTCATTTTTCAGCTGGTCATTAAGGTCTGCTTAAGTAGATAGCTTTGTCCCATACTCATTTGGCAACCTATGGGATAATCCAAGCCTGTGTCATAGTGGGATTTTATAAAGAAGCTTAAATATAGGTTATTTTAATTATCTTTTTTTGTAAAACTTAAAGTAGAATAACCATTACAAATGACACAAGAATTCTCGTCAGATCTTATCTCTCACTCGTTTTGATACAGTTATTTAAATTATTTCTGATTGACCTATACTGGTATACATGTTGAATATATATATGTGTGTCTATACACACATGTATATATTTACATGTGTACATATATACACACATATACTGTATCAGCTAATATTAATTCTATCCCAAATGCTTATTAAACACAAAGAAAAATGTAGTAACTATAAAGAAATATATATACAACTCAAGTTCTTTTTTTTAAATTAGGAAAGCAAAAAAGATGCTACAAATTTAAATCTTCACAAGAAAATGTTAATGAGTTGAAAAATGCTCTAAAGAACTCAATATGGGTATTTTGTGTGGGTCAAATGTAAAACATTGGTGTGTTTTGGGTGAATTTTTTTTTAAGTGCAATTCTCAGAACTCAACATAGTTATCTACTTGTGCATAGATAGCCAAGCTTACCTATCAGTTTGTACAGATGTAGAAAGAAAAATATTTTAATATTAAATATTTAGAAGATCTGTTTGGAGGGAGGAAAGATAAAGGACTGTAAGAGGGTCAATATTATTAATTTTCTTATTCTATAATAGTTCAAATTATGGAGAAATAGTTATGTAACCTACAAAATATTTATTGATCTTATAACTGTGGTTAATATTTAAATATCCAAGGGACTGGGGAATACCTGGGTGGAAAAACCAGAGGAGATAATTATCCAGAGTACCTATATTTAGTACCCAACTAAGTCTTTAAATAGCATTCTGAAAAATCACTTCACTGACTCTCAAGATTAGTTTTATGGACCTTCTTCAGGTTTTAGGAATTCAACATACATTGAAAAGGAATAACATTTAGCAAGAAGGAAAGTCACAAATCCTGCCATATTAGAAATAAGTGGAATGGGCTCATCTTTGGGTAATTGGTAAACCTAACTACCAACCCAACCAAAAGTTTAATGGTGTAAGATAGCAGCTAATTTACATATTGAGCAATATTTAAATAACATCAGTACCAATGATTACCGTGGATACATTACACATTTTTTAATCCTAAATCAACATATTTTTTAATGTAAGAGGAAAAGAGTGACAGGGTGGAAGAGAGTGAAAGAGAACACAGAAAACCAAAGTTCCCTAAATGATGACAAAAGACTTGCTGCTTTATCTTTGATGATGTAAGCATTGAATCCTTGTGTATTCTGTATACCAGAATATTAGCAACCCCCAACTCCACCCCACCACTGCCAAAATGGCTTATAAAAAAATTCCTTTATCTCATTAATAATTGCACATTCAGCTACACAAATGGCATAACATTAGAAGAAATGGCATAACGTTAGATTGCCATTAATGTAGTTTTCTTTGTTTATATTTCAATGCTTTTGGCATAACAGGTATTATTTATGCTTCTAAGGCCACTTAGCCTTACATAAAAAATCTCACTTCAATGGCATACCAGAGATGCCTAAATTCACATTAAGGTTTAGGATTGCCAAAAGCTGTGGACATGCAAGTTAAGTGTTCTCTTTCATGCTCCTGTCTGTATTATTTCATGGGATAATGAGATAGGCTGTCCTTTCTGTCCATCACTGGAGCAGGTGGAGACAGCATTTGCTACCTGGCAAAACTTTCGAAGAAGGATCTTTCTTAGCAGCAGATAAACCCAGGGATCCAAGATCTGGTTCAGTGAAGCCAAGCGAACAGCTATTAAGAAGAAGTTGCATTCTTTCTGCTTTTCTATCTGTGTCTTGCAATGCTCAACTGATGTCTGATTGAAGATCATTTTCAACATCATTATCTAAGAAAAAGGGACAAATAAAATTGTTCCAAAGATTAATAGGGCTATATGCATCTCCTTTACACAAAGTTTTACACATAGTCAACTTACAGTAAATTGGTCATTGAATTGGAATAATAAATTTAGGTAACATTTATACTCATAGAACACAGGCCTGGCTTACACAAGCTATTCCCTCATTTTTGGCTACCTGACATGATGCAGTTTTCAAATAATGCATGTCCTTAGGGTCTTTATATGCTTAGATTTAAGATGCTTTAAAATAGCACATCTTCAAAGTAGCCACAATTATCTGTGTTTTGTGGAAAACATCATAATATAACACCCAAATTAGAACCAACTTCAACAAGACCAAAACACATGTCCTCTTAACTAAAAGTAGTCCTGAAAAATTTTACTGAATAAAAGAATAAAAGCAAAGAAGGATAAAATTCAACATCATTGTTATTACTACCATTAGTATTTTCTGAATTCTTACAATTTGCCAGTGCTGTATCAAGTACTTCATATACACATAAAGAGCAATATAAGGTAGACACTATTACCATCTGCTTTTTATAGTTGGTAAACTGACTTTTAATGATGTAAAATGACTGAGTCAGATTAAAAGCATGTCACTAACACCAGAGGACAACTTTTCAGTCTCCCACTCTCCTTCCAACCCCCAACCCACACACACACAGAAGTTGGTGATTTTTTTTCCTCACTAGTATATATACAATGCCTAGACTAGTGGTTAGCAGATAATAATAGATATTTTCAATGAATATACTCAATGGTATCTATATAAACAAAATACAGTATGACATATTCGATATAAATGTTTTAATAAATAAATGTCATTTTCACAGAGGAGGAAAGTGAAGGTTCCTATGCACCTGAAGAGTGAATCAAGCTCATTAATCATCAGAAAAAAATGCAAATGACTACAAAGTAAGAAACTATTTTATATTCACTCATTTGACAAAAATGAAGACTTGTCACTACTCCTGTTAGTGAGGATGTGGGGTACTGGTTGACTTATTATTGGGGAGTGTGAGCTTAGCCACCTTGGAAAGCAACTGGGCACTATTTCATGCTACTTCCAGCAACCTTACTCATAGAAATATAATTATTCCAAGTTCCTTCACCAGGAGTGTGTAACACAAATGACTATTCATCCCTGCAAATATAAAGAAATATAGAGCAAAAAGAGAATAGGAACAATACAAACATTTGCAAACAAAGAAGGTGAAGACTTTATACCTGGTTCCTATGTTGTTTTTCCTAGAGACACATGACTCGTAAGGGCTTGAAATGTGGCTGGAGCAAACTGAGATGTTGGAAAATGTAAGGATCATATAACACCATTTTTACATATAGTGTTACATGACATATGCTACTAAAATCACTCATTTTTTTTTTTTACTTCCTGTTAAAATGTGGCCACTAGAAAATTTAAAATTATAAATGTGGCATACATGCATTTGTTCTTCACAGCATGTTACTATGAACCCAACCCCTTTCCTGAAGCCCACACTTATTTGGATGTTCTGTCCTCAGGTCACAATCCCAAATTAAAGTCAACATCCCTCAGCATCCAAACATCCTAAGCCATAAGCCCACAACCCCAACAATGACACTTTCATTCTAACACAGTCACCCTGGCCCCACACATCTACATATCAGTCATCTTTAAATAGTTTTTTTTTTGTCTCATCTTCTGCAATAGCTTTTGCTCTTGTTCCAGTTTTTTTTTGTCTCATCTTCTGCAATAGCTTTTGCTCTTGTTCCAGTCTCACAAATTTAGTGTTCCCGCTCTCCTCTCATGTATAGACATCCAGATAGTATGTAGATTTTAACATATCACAGACTTAGCATCTTATATCGCAGCTCAAATCCTCATCAACTATAAAACTTCAACTTTGCTTGATTGGAGAGAGTTGAATGGCAGGTTATTCTTCAACCCATCACTCTCAAAGGGATGGAATTTTCCAGGTTTGGTAAAGAGTACATATTTATCTTTTGGGGTTTACGTTATGGAATATGACAAAATCACCAACTAATATTTGAGCAAGATTTTGGTTCTGTGAACAAATAAGAAGAGAGTGAGTTGACAAATATGATATAGTCATATGCTCTGACTTTGTAATTTCTTTAAATGGAATTTTTTTCACATGGATTTATTAAATAAAAGCAAAATCAGCTATATAAATGAGTATTCATAAAAGTATTATTTATATTAGTAAGAAATTATTAACACATAAATCTCTAACATTAGGAATAAAATCAGCTTTATATGTTATGTAATATATAAGAATGTATATATTCTTAATAAGAATTAAGAGGAAAGAACAGAAGATAGTATTATGCATATAATATATAGTAATTACAATAAAATTGTATAAAATATACAGACCAGTGTAAGGTAATAGAATTCTCTCAATTAAACGAGAATTTATTATCAAGTAATTATTAAATTATTTTGAAAATTTTATGTATAGAAAAACATTTTAAGTGATTTAGCGAAGTCTTATTTAGAGTAAGTTGGTGATTGTTCCCTGCATTAATAAATATTTCAAATAAATGTATTTAATAAATTTCATATTTAAATTTATTGTAAATTTTTATAGTACATCTAAAAATTTATATTTAATTAAATTCATTATATATTTATGCATACTAGTAACTCTATGAATAGCTCTGTAAAGTACACACAACCTCCCATTGTGATAGGGTAACTTTATCCTAACTCCTGTCTAAATTATCTTAGTTTCTAAACTTACAACATCAAAAAATGAATTTCTGGTTTTCTGGTAATATTAGTTAGAATCAATAGAGGGAATCTGTCAATATGTTATCATACATGTCAAAAAAAGATTTTGTAGATGTGATTAATGTTAATGGTCTTGAGACAAAGAGATTCTCCTGGATCACCTGGGTGGTGCAAGGTAATCACATGCGTCCTTCAAATATGAGCCCATTCCTAGCTGTAGTGTACACAACTCTATAGGGAGATGTGGCCAGAAGACTGGTTAGAAAAATGCCATGTTGCTGGTTTTAAAGCTGAAGAGTCAGGAATTAAAGTAGGCCTCTAGACCAGGAGATAAAGTGAGTGAGTATGTGATGCCCCTCCAGAGATTCTAGTGAGGAATGCAGCCTTACAGCCACCTTGATATTAGCCCAGTGAGACTGTATCAAATTTCAAATTGACAGAACTGTAGAAGAAATTTGTTTGGTTTTTGCTAACAAGTTTGTAGTGGTTTGTAGAGTTGCAATACTAAATGAACCTTCCTAGAGTGTCAACTCTCCTAATGTTGAGAGGAGATGGGGAAGAATGAACTTGAAAATGACTTGTTTGCTCTCATAGACAAAACATCCTAGCAAGTTGTTTACTTTGTTCACTTTCTTAGGAAACTTTTAAAAGCATAAATAAAGTAAACTATTTTAATTCCTGCCTAAATTATCTCAATTTCTAAATTTACAATATGTAAAAACAAATTGTTTTTCTAGTGATATTAAGTAAAATCACTGTGTATTTAACAAAATGGATAATTACATTTTAATTGGTCACCTTTAAGGAAAACATGTGCCTTTAACTTTTTTTTTCTTCTTCTTATAAACTATTGTAAAAGTTTTACTTAATTTTTTCAACTCCTCCACTCATCCCCCAATTAAATTGATTTGATCACTTACCATCTTCTAGGAAGTGCTCTGGCCCTGATCTAGAAAGATCTGAAATCTCACTTAAGTTACACTTTTATTTTCTTTTATAAAATAAAGGATTGAGTTTTTTCAGCCTTTATTTTTTTAAATGAATGTTGTTGTTGTTGTTGTTTTAAAAAAGATTTATTTATTTATGCATACAGAACTGGGGCCCAGGCCAGAGGTGTAGAGGCGGTGAGAGGCTTCACCAGACAGAGCGGGGAGCAGAACAGGCAGATGACTGAAGAACACTGCTGAGGGGAGCAGCAGGTGGGTCAGGAGAGGTCTGTTATGCCATGTGGATCACCTCCAGGACAGGTCTCAAACTCTCACTGCAGTGGTTGCAGCTTGCTTGCAGTGCTGCATCCTAACCCATTGTGTGACCAGGGAGGGCCCTTCAGCTTTTTATAATCAAGAAAATTCTCAAAATCACTTATAAAATGGGATTTTTGTCATTTTGTACAGTCCTTGATGATTTAAAAATTATTTTCACAAGGCTAATAATTTTAAATTATTTTATTAAGTTAATATAAGTTTCATATGTCTTATATTGGTTAGTTTACAGTAATTTTTGCAATTTACTATTGACAATGCAATGATTATGAAATTATGAAACCAAGCTCTGTAAGCAATAGCAGGCACATGGAGAGAGACACTCTAGCTTTTCCCAGAAACCATGAGATGTGCAATATGAAGATAATTGAAATTAGAGTCAGTAAGCATGATACTACCATTTCTAAATGGCAGCACAAATGGAAATAGGCCTCCAAATTTCTCATCTAATTCCAAACATAAATGCAAATTAATATCCATCTGCATTAAGAAGCTATAGAGTGATTATAATTTTTGCGAATATTTATTAGACATTCAAACTTTGGAGAAAACCTTTGTCAAAATGATATAGACTTACAGTAGAATTAATTACCCCTATTAATCCAGTTCTACTCCTTATGTAAGAAAACAGGACACTCAGCCAGACTAGCATAGAGGCAATTTTCTTTAGCAAATGCATGTATATGTGTTCTGCACAATTGCCCCTTCTGAGCAGCCTTATATAACATTTTGGTCAAGCTGGCAGTGAGACCAGTTCTGGCTGAACAGAACTATAACTCTTTTGCCAGCATCTTCCCCCAGGCTCCACATGACTTGGAGGCCCCTCGCCTCTCCCCTGGTTATCAGCAGGAACAGAGAGCACTTTTCGTACCCGAACCCAGATAATAGGAAAACAACTCTATCGGTGACCTCTAATTTTTCCATCCCTGCCTACTGTCAAGGGCAATTATTCCATCCTAAAAAAAGTGATCTGTTCCTTCTAC